TGGCGAAATGCGAATACTCTAAGCCAAGTTGAAGATATGAGAAGAGAACACGAGCTAGTTACAGTGTCAGCTGAAATAATCGTAGCATCTCCAAATATGAAGTTGCTCACGAAAATAAACATTTGAACATTTATATGGACTTTATTCTGGACATATTGTGTGTTTTATATAAAATATTTTGAAATTTTATTAACACTGTAACAAGATCTCAGTATCGAAAAATATATACATAAAACATTTAATAAAAATGTTTAAATACATTTGAAGGATATTTTATAGAAATCATAAAAGTATTTAAACATCCGTCGTTATATCAATAAACCTAAATATTCCTTATTCACTCATTTTTGATAGATATTTAAATATTAAACTTAATCCATTAAAGACCAGGTAATATTAAAAATACCTAAATTTATTTAAATTCCATGAAATTATAAAATCTATTATATTATAATTACTCTACGAATTTATTATCATTGAAATTTCCGTTCAATATCAGTTCAATTTCTTTTTATAACAATAAAATTTAATATTACAAATTGATTGGAAACAATTGTAAATGAAATATTGGCTCTTGATGAATTAAAATAGATATTCATGTTTGCAACTTTTAGTAGTGTAATCATAATAAACGACTCTTATTTTGACATTAATGAAATTTCAAAATATTTTATATAACACAGTACTTAATGTATTCGTATAGGAATGAACTACTGTATGTCAACCTTAATAGAATGCGTAGTACATATATTTTACTCTTACAAAATTTTACATGTTTGAATTTCATTCACTATCTTCCAATTTCTAAATGTAAAATTAGAACGAGAAAAACGTTGTTCACTTTTTCTGTGTGCATGTAGGTTTTGTTCACGAAACTTTGACGATATTGAAACACACTCATTTTCTGACTAGAATAGCTGCCTGCACCTTTGACTCGAGCAACCAAATAACCCAAGAATATTTTTCGAGAATATTTCTGCTAGCTTCACTATGTCGTTTCTAACCACCCTCTTGTACCTCTATTATCTTGGCAGAACTATTTTAAACCTCGTTCAGTAACACGATCTCAATTATTTCGAGCAGTACGATCATTCCTCTTGCCTCAAGCAACATCTGTATTATTTTAAGGATAATGCCAAGTTATCGATGACGAAGCTAAATGAAGATATGCGGAAACTCATCTGATAATACAAATCATTTTTAATGCTTATACTTGTAAAGTAAGTTGCTGCTCTGGTCGGCACCATCTGAATCAAATGTCCAAACTGCAGAGTTTAATCGAGACCATACAAAAGAAAAGAAAAATTTATAATGGTAAGCTCGTTACCAACAGAATTGTTCGATTAACTCGTAACTGGTATCGTTGGACATTGACAGCTACAATAATTCAGGGAATTGCCAATCTCAATAAAGAAGAGAATATAAAAATACGAAGCGTGTATTAAAATTTCTCTCGCAACACAGTTGCACACAATACCCGGCGTAATTAAAAAGCCGAGTATTTTTAAGGGGAGCGTTATAATCAGATCTCGTCCAGTTATAAAGGCCGCCTTAACCGAGAGAACATAGGCTCGCATGGTCGAGGCGAAGCCAGCCAGATCTCAGGCAAAACATACAAAACGATAGCTGGACAAGCCGAGCAAGGAACCACGGTGCATGCCGGGTACTGTAGGAGTCGGTGAACAGGCGAGTCGATCAGAGACCGGGCATGACGCCAGTCTTCCAAAGTCTTCCTTCCACCTTCGCGACGCTCTCGCTACGCTCTCCATTGTGCTCGTTTCGCGTGTGCTAGCAATAATACGTCTGTCGATATGAAACTTGCTCGATGAACGCTTCTCGTGGTGCCTCGAACGCCTCTCGGTGTTTCTAAGCCTTCGTTTCCATCGTTGGTCTCCCATAGGAACGAGAGAGAGAGAGAGAGAAACAGTGTTCCGATGAAAGCTGCCAGCAGGATCTCTTGAAACAGGTACGAGGATCGTTTGCGGGATCGTCGACGGTGTTTCAGTAGTTTCACGCAGATCGATTTGAATGGAGATGAGAGACAGATTGGAGATTCTGCGTCTCCGTAGCGAGTTTGTGCAAACGGTGTGTGGTATGTCGTGTCGCGATGTGATTTAGAGCCGGTGATTTGTGGTCGTTTTCGAGGATAGTGGTCTCTCCGCTTTCTGCGAACTTCTCGTTTTCGTTAATCCTGTACTACACTCTTCTTCTGACACCGAAACTACTCGTTCGAGTGTGAAACTTGCGCCAGAGAAATGAAAGTCCGAGGAATAAGGGATTAGTTTCCT